CGGGGAATTGTCGGCGAATACCTCCTAGCCAGCTTTCTGCATCACTGAAAACCCCCCACCCCCGTAACCCCACCGGCCGGGGAGCAGCTCAGGTCTGGGGGCTGAAATCCCCCCTTGGCCAGCCACACACAGGACCCAGCACACCGGGATGCTCCCACGTTTTTCTTTTATTTCCTTGCTTTGTAAACTCTCTTTCCTCGACAATCTGCCCCTCTCCAGGGCCACGGAGGAGGAAGCGACGCTGGCAATGTGCTCGCCCCGCTCCAGGCTATGCCCCCAGACAATTTCTGGGCACGATTTACGGCGAAGGCGCTGATGCTGCACCGACGTCTGCGGACGGTCCCCGTGACGCGCGGAGTGCGCAGGGCTTTGACTCGGAGCGCAGACGGCACTGCGACACGCAGGCTCGCCCAGAGCTTGTACCAGCCGCTCCAGCTGGCTGCAGGCGCCTGCCCCAGCGCACCGGCAAGGCTTGGGGCTGGGTTTTAAAGGACTGGGTTGGAAAAGGGTGAGCCTGAAAACAGGGTGTGATGCCTGGAGCGCTGCTCAGAGCTGCCTAGGTGCCCGTCTGCATCTCTAAGCGCTGATGTGCCCTCAAAAAATGTGGGGTTTGAGCATGGGTAGTAAAGACAGAGGCAGAATAATGCTCTTCTACGGTGTATTTTCATGCATTGAATAGAAGAACAGAGCAAACCGCGATTGCCGTAGACATGAGCACACAGCCTGGCTTCTGCGCAGCTCCCAAAAGCAGGCTGGGGTCCCAGCAGTGCCACCACCCCAGGGTCCCTGGCACCCACAGCCGACAACCAGCCAGTAAGCCCCAAACCAGCCCTTGGCAGCGGGGATAAAACCGCGTGCTGCCCGCGGCACGTCCCCACCTGGCCCTGGTGCCTGAAGGGCAGATGTCCAGGGGCAGCCCCGGCTGCTTTTGCCCCCCGAGACACGCACGCAGCCATGTGAAGCCCAGCCCCGGAGCTGCACGTCGCGACAGATGCATTTTCGGGCTGCTGAATCGCTGCACCGCCCTGCTGTAGCCTCTCACCAGCCCCAAGTGGGTTCCCTCGCAAACCCGACCTCCAG